TTAAACACTATATATTTTTTTACAATTGTGATTAACACCCCGAAAAAGTTCAGACACGTTTGCTGAACGAAATGTTGTAATCATTTGAATTTCAATCGCTGAGACTGTTTCTCTCATGTGAAGTCCACGAATGATATTGAATTCCAAAGGGTTTATCATTATGACTTCAATAGTTAGAAGAGTACATTTTTAAATTATTGAGCTACACTTTACTCAAACATATGCTGTGTTCATGAAACAGGCATTATAACAAAAGACTGAATTATTACACCAGTTAAATGAGATTAAAGAGTTACAAGCACGGAAACTATTGGCGTCACATGGAACAGTCTAGAAAGATTAGTGGTGATAAGTTCGCCACTTAAACGCTTGTTTCTAACTTTCTAGCCACTTCCTATAGCTTCAGACTACTCCTACACTTCAAATTGAATAGATAAACAGAGCGAACAGTAAGACGTTTACTTAAAGGTTAGTCATATACAAAAAACTGTGTATACTTATCGTCCCACGTGACCCACAGCTTCAAGAACATCCTGGAAACATGTCGAAAATATGATAAAAACATAAGCAATTGTCCTATCAAAACGCGATACATCATAATCCCTCATTTCTAGATGCTCCTGAGAAACTTCTATTAAGTGCTGAACCGAAAGTTTCCAAGGCTTCCAGAAACTTTGACGAAGGACATTATAGGACTCCCCAACAAATAGAAACTTAAAAATTACATCGACCAAAGAGAAAATGTCACACATTCTAAGTTATGATTTATCCTAAAATTATACCTTTCAAAGCGTAAGTACATTAGCAAATGTTTAAGGATCAGTCAGTCAATCAGTCAGCAACAACGTAGAAATTCGTACGTACGTACGTACATCAGTTCAAGTTGCCACACCACATTAGCACAGAGATACAATTGTCGGTTCAAATCCCATAGTGGCAGAGATAGTAAAATTATAAGAAGTAATCGGAAACATTAGGGTATGAAGATGTTATTCAAGGAGTATAATCCAGTGCAACAAATTTGGAAAGAGAAAAAAGAAAAGGACATGAAGAATTCAGAAGATTAGAACTTGGGAGGACACAAAGATTTTGAGCCATATCATTCAGGGTCTATAACAATCAGTTGCTATCGTCTCGTGGACCCCAACCAGGTAGTCTACATTTACCAACATGGCTCAGTCCACTTGTCAGTGAATTCATGTATTTGTGCCATGTTTGGGTTCGGTCACCTCTAGCTTTCTTCCAACTTACTCCTACACCACAAAACATCGCTCGTCGGAGCAGTCGGTGGTTGGGCATATGTATCACATGTCACAGCCATCTTAACTGATGAAGTTTCACTACTTCATCAATTGATTTTCTATCCCCACCAAGTACTCGTTTCCTAATAACTGGAGGACTTACATCAACTTGCCATTCAGGTTGACTGGAGATCGTGGGAAACCGAAGTGTGGCTGAAGGCCAGTTGAACTGATCCCTAAAGTGTTCTGCCCATCGATCCAATCTCCTGGATTGAGAATGAATAATATGTCCATCTTTCTCTGAGAGTGTTTCGTTAACAGTTGAACTCGCTACCCACCATTGTTCACGATCATTGCGTAGGCTTCATATCAGTCTGCACCTAACTTAACTCCACTCTTCATTATGTTCAGAGCCAGGTGGAATAAGTTTCCGAGCATCTATCATTGCAATAGATGCTGCTGAGATCCAGTGTTTCTCCCTAACCTTGTGGTTTACCTTACTCGCAGATATCACTGCTGTTTCCACAGCTTTTCGGATATCATTCCTAGTTGCCTCTGGGCTAGCATCACTTACATGGCTGCCTAACTGTTTTTCCAGTTGTTCCCGAAATATATTCGTAGCTTGGCTATCATTAAATAGAACCCTAAGAAGTTTCATTGCAGCGTCCTTCCTACGTCCAGTAAGACGCAGACAAATACGCGTTCGTACTAGAGCATGATCTGAATCTGAGCATGCGCTCCAGAATGAACGACATTCTTTTATTGAGCCCCTTCATCGGTGGCCGATAGCAATGTGATCTAGTTGGGTTCGACGTTGGGACGAATTCAGGGGTCTCCATGTTAAAAGATGTTTTCCTTATGCTTAACATTAGTATTTGCAAGGAACAGACGGTCGCCATTATCTGTTCTTTGAGCCACGATGCTATAAGATCCACCCAGGTGTCTTTCCCTATCGCTTAGTTTACCTACTTCAGCATTAAAGTCACCAGTCGCTATTGCTACATCAGAGCGCCTAACTTCTTGGAGAAGGTCAGAAAGCTTTCTGTAAAACTCATCTTTTACATCATCTAAGCTGCAGTCAGTAGGAGAATAGGCAGAGACGACGAATAAGTAACGACGTGTGTCCCTATCTTTTTGGATCCTTACTGTTCCGTTTAGTCGGACAGCGCACAAACGGCTGTCTACTGGGATCCACTCTAAGAAAGCTAGTTCTGCACTAGAACTCAATGCTATGCCTACGCCGGCGAGGCCACGGGAAGCGGAATCAGGGCTTACAGATACACGAAGTGTAAATCGATTCGGTCAGATGAATGACGCTACTCGGATCCTGTATGCGCGTTTCGGAGACGCAGCACACATCGATGGCGCGGGATTCTAAAGTCCTAGCTAAGGAAGCCTGTTGTCCTATTTGGCACAGTGTTCGGATGCTTAAAGCTCCTACATGTAGTTTAGAGTGTGGTTTCAGAAAACCAGGTATAGCGTTCCGCGTATTCGAATCGTTTGTCTTAGCGGTGCGAGGTGATAAAGAGATGTGAGGAGGGTTTGTCATGGAGATAAGAGATGTATTAAGAGGTGTAGGAAGTATTTGAATGTGGCCAACTTGGTCTCGTGTGCTGTTACGGGTATGAGGGCTGATATCACTTCCCGGCTGCCCACACTGTGGAAGGATATCTCTTGAGGAACCTGAAAATGAAATTGGATTAGTGTTGGTCTTAACGACCTGGGAGCGTGACCGCAGAGACGGTTCACTCACAGCTTCTTTGTGGTAAGATTTTAATGTGTTAACTCCGTACATCAAAAGGCTTTACCGCTGGAGACGTGAATCCGTGAGGTAAGGTGAGGTGCGACATCTTTAGGGTCGACCTTTTCCAATCCCTTCCTTCTTTCTGAGAAGGCAGCATCGCTGCAGATGCTGGTTGACTGAGGGAAACACTTGAATGCTCTCCACCCGTCTACAATCAGCAGTACGACTTCGCCCTCAGACCTTGAGTTGCTGCATTTAGTCTTACCGTTCTCCAATCGACCTGCATGGCATGGTAGAACGTACAGGAATATATGTTCCAGCAAGTAAAGCTAAGTTGGGTCATTAGGATAGGCAAGCCCGACCACCACGTCAAGGTAGCAGCTGCGGTTAGGAATATTTAAGGATAATTACATATAGACATAGATTGGAAAAACTATTGACCTTTCCTAAATACCTTAAGAAAAGGTTAATTGGCCGGAGTTATTCTAAGTGAATTCGATATTTTCATTCTAAACATTGAAAACCTAAATATTTAAACAACTTTTGCCAATTCATTGATATCCCATTTCTGTTGATTATTAGAAATTCAATTGACTAACGATTAAAAATTGCTGATTACACTTAGAATAAAGGCCAAAATGGTTATTACAGAAAACTAGTTGCAGTAATTTCTGATAAATTACAAAGTACAACCATATGATTATAATTTAGATTTGAATAAATGAGTAATTAAGAAAGCATTATGCAAATGAACCAAATTCATTTCCTACAATCACAAGTTGACTGATACTTGATGTAGGCTAAAGTTATAATAAAATACTAATTTAAGAGTGGTCAATATATACACAATATTTGTTAATCTGACAGTTTACTTGAATGGGTTTGGTAGAGATTAAATTAGATTAGTTTATAAGTTGTATATATCCCGGTTGTCTTAGTCAAGGTAGCACTAGTAACAAAGGGGCTCTATGAAATAAATAGATGGTCGGTCGGTAATAATCATGAGTTGTTGGGTATCGTTGATGAAGCAAACCCTTGTTTTAGGCGTTTTAAAAGTGATCATACCAAAACTATCCAACCCTTATTGATTTCTTGAGGTTCATCTTTTCTTAACATTAGCTTTGGCTCCAGCTTACGAAAGGAAAATAATACATATTTTTAACGTGAGTCTACCCTTTTACACGCACATGACATGAAAAGGTAACATAACCTAACAAATGTAATGGAATGTAGCTGCTCTTATAGATCCGAAATGCAGTTATCATATTGGTATATGATAAACTACCCAAGTCAGTTCAATATCATCAACAGAATCGCCATATGTGAAAGACAGTGAGTTTCGTCCAGCAAATAACCAAACTTGAATGACATTTTACAGCAAACAGCATACAGGCCGTGATACACACGATCAATGAGATTATATACAATGAAACAGCTATGGTGACTAATCAGGAATATTTATACCTAATTACTAGCTTACTAACAAGTTCACCAATCCATTAAATATTGATAACCTAGTTAAATTTTCTAGTGAGGTATGAGTATTATACAATGGAACATTGAGACTACGATTGGCCAACAAGTTAAATATCATATCAGTAGAAATAAAATTAGGCTACTAAACAATACCACTTAATTGTTTAATGCTGAGTACAGAATAAAATGAAAAATTGAGCAGTTCAAAACGGTCTTTTTTACTATTACTACGACTACCACTAATGATAATACTTGGATGTCCAAACTGAAAGACAGGATTTCCGTTAGTTGGAACACAAGCATGTGCTTCAGTCGCTAAACTATTAAGGCATAATTATTTTACAAAGATAATCTGAAAGTATAACATTTTTTCAGTAAAAAACTTACTGACACACTTTGACCAGCATCTTCTCCATCTTGCATAGATATGGTAAGGCTTGTAGCTGAAAAATATCCAGCTAGTCGTTCAGCAATCTGTCTGACAGTCATATAAAGATCAGCGACTTGTGCCAAATTTAGCTGACAAAATCTTTGCACACTAGCAATCGGACAAACAAGTATGTCTATATTGAAACTTATTCGTCAAAAGAAAATAGGCATAATCTGATTTGTGATATGTGTTTAGTAACAATTACTCTAGTAAAAGTAAAATGTGAGAATGATACCATCAGAATCGAGAAAAGGAGCTAGGTTTTTGCGCAAAATATAAAACTGACATAAGTGTTAATAATCTTTATATGGTATTCAAAACGCCTAAAACAAAAAACTTCCTGTCATCGTGGAGTAAAACTGGTGCTAAATATATCAAACACTCAATTTTTCCTATGTGGATTGCACATTACAGGGAAAAGAACAATAATTTCTAGTCTTGAAATAAACCTTCATCCAGTGGTATTATAATTTAAGTACGAATAGATGAGACTTAGGATACTATATATTGGATTCTTGCGGCAAATCCATTCACCCACATAGTTACAAAACATCTCTATAGTTGAAGCCAGTTCGTTAAGAGCACCTTAACCATTACCAAAAGCAATCTGAAGACCGTCAAAAGTCTATTTTCCTCCATTTAAGGATATGAGAAGATGAGTAAACCATATCCATTTGAACGAACGTGGGTCTCTACTTTTCCAGTTCATAGCCAAAGTAACATATAAAATGCTTTGACAAATTAAGTAATTATGTAAACATTTTTACACTCGATGTTATAACAACAAATACTAAAAAGTTGGAACCAGTTTTCGAATTATTGGCAATTATAATTGGTCGGTGTATGGAACTGGATAACATTCATTGTGATTTTTTTCTTCTTTGTTTTGATAACCCTGGATCCACGAGACTCTTATCACATAAGTAGTGTTCGTGCTTCTTTGGACAGTATCAGCGTAGTTCCGGTATGTACGAAGCATTTCATTCTCCACAACCAGTGTACAAAATAATTTACCACGAAACTAATCTTTCCTGTCCGACTTTCGTACAATCGGTTTCACTTATTTCGAGAACCACCGAGTTAATTTACCTCATTTCCGTAACTGATTGATCGATCTCATACATTATCCGGACATTCCATTTACCTATATTAATTATTGCTATTGTTGTTAGAAGGGTATAAATGGTTTAAATTTTCTTTTCTTAGTCAGTGTTTTTTTGCATGCTTGCTGACTACATGCCCAACTATCCTTATTTCCTCCGGGCTTGAGAACTGCAGTAACCCTAGAAAAGTTATAGGAGGAGTTAATTTGGTCATTAAATACTGCTAATTTAAGTCTCCTCTACTTTAGGTGGCAATATTTTACAGCCATAAAGTGAAACAGAGACAACTTGTGAAGCATCCCCGACTATTAGTATGTAGACGAATATTATGCCGATGCTACAGGTGACACAGTTGGAGAAAGCCAACAAGATAAAGCTTACAAGATAAGTGAAGTGGCTGACATACACTTCTTCATTCACTATAATCGATCTATAGGGTGAAGCACACCAGGTTGTGTTTGAAAAAAGAGAAATGAATCCCCAGAAAGCTTACATTGATACTCAACACAATCAGAAGATTGTGTCTTTTGACAGCGTCTTCACCGAACAGGACTGTGTCATTTACATATTCTAAATCAACAAGTTAGTTTCGTAATAGATCGATTCCTAATAAGTCAGATGATAAAATCGCTGTTTCTAAAAACGTGTCTGTGATAAAATTGTGTATAAACGGTGGCAGCGGACAGTCCTGATGCCTTTCAAAGACAGACACTGTTATAAAACATATTGATCAACTCAGACACATGTGTCAGACCCTGTAGTGCTGATGTTTCACCTAGATAGTTGAACTCTATCTATGTCAAGAAATATAACTAGTTGGCAGTTGGTAGATATTTCTGTGTCCCAGAACGTGACGAAAGGCGAATATTTAGTCTACACATTCCCATTCAAGTCTCAAACCATCCTGGTTCGTTCTTCATGAACCCCATTTAAGTATTGGATAACTGAGACTAACGTTTTAGATAATATATTAGTCAAACTGATTTTCTGTGATATTTCCTATAAACTAGAATGATCAGTGACTGTGTCCAGTGAGATAAGATTACAGCGAAACTATAATTTATGAACGAACCAATCAGACTCAAGACAGATCTCGGATGTTAGTGCTAAATGTATTCAATTATTTGGCTAAATACCATTTTGGTATTACAGCTGAGGTCAGTTCGTGATGAAACGTTAAATATAATTCATAACACTAACGTTCAGCTGTAAGCCCTAATCCTAGTTCTTCACACCAACAACCCTAGTAAGTAGGTGGACATTCCAAGGTCATTATAGCGTGCCTCAAAGATTGTCTATATATTATAGTCTCACCAAGATTACTTCCAGTCCCTAAACCCAAACTGCTATCCAAGACAATCAAACTTCCAAAAAACGGCACCACCATCTTCACAGAACTACGGAGTTAATTTATCAAAACCTGGATTCTCTCAGTTTAGATTAGTTATGGATTTTTCAACATCACTAAGAGTCGAGGAGCATATGTTGGTATCCCATTCAGGTTGCTTGGTAACAGTAGACAACTAGAGGTAGCTGGAAAGCAGTTAAACTGTTTTTCAAAGCTTACCATCTATCGTTCCAATACGTTTGGGCTGGGTAGAACACTAACTACTGGACTTTTGGTTTTTTGATGAGTTTTGTTCCGAAATAGTTTCACTGATAGCTGAACATTTAAATTCATAAAGGGAACCAATTGCATGGATATTTAACACCAGTTTCCTCGATGAATCGTAACAAATATGTACTGTTACCTATCGCCACTACCATATCTTTTCCATCTCTTCTTCATTACTCATAGCTGCTCTCAACGAGATTAAACTTCTTGTCCGTTCACATTGTCACTGTGTGAGAAATTACATCGTTAGATAAATGATAGTTGTCTAGTCGATAGCAGAACGCAACTTCTTGATAACGACACTAAAAAGAATACCTTTTAGTTGATTAGAATATCATATTCAAGGAAAGTATCTGTTAGCTTTTAGATCCCCAAATGCCCCGGTACGGTCGAAGGTGGGGAGGGTCAACTCTCCCTATCCAAATGCGCTCACATGGCCACGTGCATACAACCACTGACACGGAAGTCCTACTCACTGCCTTTTCGCGGCATTGCTGTTCTTCACGAAATTGGGAAAACGAAACGCGAATGTCCGGAGCTTTAACCGGTTTAGTGGGTATAGAGAGCCTACATAGAAGAGTTGAAAGACCCTGATTCCGAACAAATGATCCAAATGGGCTCCAGTATATTGAGGGAACAAATGGCGTACGAACAAATCGTTGGTCACCGGCAACCATGAAACTGCATCTCCCTATGTCGCTCCACTGCCTTGTGGATCAGACCGTCAGGTCAAAGGTTCCGGGCGTGGTCCCCTAAGAAAACCACCTGCTTCAGTTTCGACACCCGGGCAGTATCACAGTCCTCATACAAATCGAATGATTTATGTGGTGCAGATCTATTTGGCGCCTTCTACCTATGTTCATGTGTTTAAATAAATAAACAAATAAATTTATGTTTTGTTTTCGACAAACATTTACTAGTCCTTTAAGATGTAAATAAAATATGATACAAAAAAGGATACGTCCTGGTACCAATGGACTAATATTTACGAACGCATAGCTTAACTTCGATTGATAAAAGACACAATCCGATTTGATAATATGAGGACCAAATTTAAAATCCACAGACTGTATAGCTATTTTCGCAAATAAAATTGAACAACAGCAAAAAATGTTTAATACAGCTGGTTTAAAATAAACTTACATGATTATTTGACTTCGACATTGATTCATTTTTATTAAGGATATAAATACATAAATGAAGATAAAAATAGTGTTAACATGAGATCAGGGTTGTAGAACAGCTGAATAACTCACTTGGTTGAGACATTGTAGCACTTGAAATAATAAAATTAGTAAGAAGTAACTCTAGGCATGTGGAACAAGCAACAACATGAATAATATGAAATGGTTTGGCAAAATCAACAAGAATACAAAGTCATCGTTAAGTAGAAAATGATCTCACATATGACTTAATTTTCCAGATGTTGGCATTTTGACAGAACATATTCGCTGTATCAGCAAACCAATTTTTCGATCACTCATAAATTTGACGGGGACACATGCAACTACAGGTAATTAAGTTTATTCCACTGATTTCAAGATGAAATGAGAAGAGATGCTTTAGGGTGTAGGTATGGAGATTAGATGCAACTAAAACTCACTTAAAGAAAATAGCAGTCGCTTACAATTGATAAAGATTGATGAGATGCGGTAACTCATGCAATGTTTCACATTGAGGTTATCTATTTCGGATAAATTTTGGGTACTTATTGTAAAATTAGATAACAAAGCTTGTGGTTTGAAACCTGAAGCATTGATTTCAGTAAAATTGCGATGAGAAAAAAGATGAATTAAATTCAGAAGCGAAGAAAATAAGTAAACGAGTAGCATATAATGAGAAAAACAAATCAGTTAGAAATACCATCAGAAAGAATTCTTTCAGTTAATGGAGTTCTCAACAGTTTCTATAAAGAATGCAAAATAAACCACAATGGGATCGCTATTACTTTATGTTCTCAATTATTTCTGATCATGTTTCAACCCACTGAGTCCTACCGCCTACAGAACCTCAAGTGAGAAGTTCTACACAGCCTCTTTCCATCCTACGGTGTTGAGTCATAATCTGACTATTCGCTTTATTTACCCAGTTTCAAGGTTCACAAATCCCTGAGATAATATTTGAAACACATGTACAAGGTACCGGAGTTAGTATTTTAAAGTAACAGTACCGACTGAATTATTGTCGATGTGCTAAAACACACATTTCTAAACCTTAGCATCACTAACATGGTGTTACCACGGATGTCAACAATTCTTTGGAGACAAGAACAATGGAACGATTTCCGAACATCCTTAACTCGGAGGCCAGGTTTCACAAGCGCAGAGTATGAATATTTGGCTTGAATGAGTTGAAAGAGTATCTGATAGTTATAATGCAGCTGCTACTTCAATCTCGTCAGTACTCTCCGACTACCAGACTTCTCAGTCAGTACGCTAACTTTTTAGGAATGTATAACTGTCGTCAAACTTACGGTTAGTTGAAGTGGACTGAAGTGTCTCACAAAACCGCAAGAGATGCGAGCCGCTATTTTCAAGGCATCATGCAAACCCGCCCGATGTTTACCTACAAATCCTGATGGACTGACTACTAGACTTAAATCTAACTCGATTCGGTATTTTGATTGCGATGGAAGCCTCAACCAATTCACCTATGTCAATCGCCTTGAGATGAGACGTTCGTTAGTCATTAAAAAGCAAAGTCAGCTATGTGAAAACAAGGACATAATCAGAGTCCGAACAGGTAATCCCAAAAGAGCGGCAGTCCGATGCACAACCATACAAAGAGTAGTTGATAGGGATTTGACTAATATGAGTCCAGGGATGAATTGGAGAGGAAGGAAATAAGATAGCACATTAGTGATGCCCTGGTACGGTCGAAGGTGGGGAGGGTCAACTCTCCCTATCCAAATGCGCTCACATGGCCACGTGCATACAACCACTGACACGGAAGTCCTACTCACTGCCTTTTCGCGGCATTGCTGTTCTTCACGAAATTGGGAAAACGAAACGCGAATGTCCGGAGCTTTAACCGGTTTAGTGGGTATAGAGAGCCTACATAGAAGAGTTGAAAGACCCTGATTCCGAACAAATGATCCAAATGGGCTCCAGTATATTGAGGGAACAAATGGCGTACGAACAAATCGTTGGTCACCGGCAACCATGAAACTGCATCTCCCTATGTCGCTCCACTGCCTTGTGGATCAGACCGTCAGGTCAAAGGTTCCGGGCGTGGTCCCCTAAGAAAACCACCTGCTTCAGTTTCGACACCCGGGCAGTATCACAGTCCTCATACAAATCGAATGATTTATGTGGTGCAGATCTATTTGGCGCCTTCTACCTATGTTCATGTGTTTAAATAATAATAAATAATAGATAGATGACTGTGTCAGAAATAGGTGCTGGCCAGAAACAGATTATTTATGAGACTTTTCAGAAAAGTCATTCTTATCTGACCCGGGACGAGTTCCATTTGGTCACGAATGACTCTCCTCTGAACCTGGATGCCCTCCAGTCAAACCGGATGAAAATAATAGCCCCCAGATGAATCCACATAAAACAAAGTTTTCAGATAGGCAGATGAAGAACGAATTCGTCGTACTTTCCTAAATCTTTAAACACGGTTTTTTGGATAAACAGTAAACATTAATGTTAAGACCTTTCAAAGACCTACTCAAACCTATATGCTGACCAATCTACATCAGTTTGAGGACGCTGAGAGCGAATAATTTAAATAATACACGTGGTTTTAAGAAGTCTGATCTTTACATCACATTCAGTGGTAGCATTCAAAATTTCGACCAGACAGAGACTTGAGATAGTTTAGGAAGGATAGTACTTTCAACACATACAAGGTACTGAGTGGGTTGAGAAATAGAAGTAAACGCCGAATGGAAAAAAATGGAATGGGGAAGTAAAGTAAAACAAATATACTTGAACATAATGTGTGGCAATTATCCTTTGAGCTAGAGAGGACGCTAAGTAAATATAATAATTTTTTTATAATTTTGGTTACATTTGCATAAGAGATAGGGCACTTTTCGATGGCAAAAACAGATGCAAGTGACTTTCTTAGGGGATCACTCCTTAAACTTCCGATTTAGGGGTCTAATCCACAAGGAGGTGAAGCAGCGTTAAATAACGTTCTATGGTAGCAGGTGACTAAAAATGAGCTTATGTGACATTTGTTTCCTTAGAATTCTGAAGTTAATGTGCACAACTGATTCGGAATCAGTTTTCCAACTCACCCGACAACCTGGTCAAAGCGCCAGATGTTCGCTTTTCGTCCTCTCATTTCTGTAAACACGCCCATTGCATGAGTAGGGCTTCTGTGGCAGTGGCTATTAATGCATGGCCATATGAGAGTATTTCAAGAAGTGGAACGGATTCCCTCTAGACTTTAGTCGTACCAGGAGGTTTGAGGTTAAACACTTAAAACACCTTAGCCATCTAGCGAGCTTCCTCAGTTAGATGTGACTGTGCACCGGACAAGTAAGTGTCTGCTCACTCCATGATGTTAATACGCATGTGCACGAGAATAGAGGTGGATCCACACTCACACGCACGGACATACAACTATACAGAAAGCCGCTGACATATCTCCACTTTACAACGAGGACTCAGCTAAAATCCGTTATGCACTGAGATCTGATTCATTCAGCAAGTTTCCCAACGCATGCTTATCCAGCTATGCAAAGGGAGACTAAAAATGAGCTAAAATTAATGAAACCATGCACAGATCACGCAAACACAAATATATATCACTGGAGTAATCCAGATATATGGGTGGTAACTCTGGTCAGATGAATAGTCTAGTAATTAACAATAAGCCTAGACTTCCCATATACCAAGTGCCCTTGTGACAGCATGAGATCTGTTTGGACCTGATCGACTTATTTAACGGTGAATTTACAACACGACAACAATAACCCCCATCAATGGAGATAGATTACTGTATAAAATATTTCTCCTTGAAACTAAAGACAGATATTAAACGGTTTGTGATCAGTGACCACGGTAAATTTTCTCCCAAGTAACGTTTTGTGGAATTCTTACACCTCAAAAACGAGAGACAATCCATCCCTCTCGACTAAACTACTGTACTCAAACATTGGGATATTACAGTGTCCATATTGTAATAGAAGGCATCAGCAGCAAATAAAAAACTGAGACTAGGATAATAATATATGAAGATCATATCATATATTAGTATTGGCATGTGTTTTGCACCTTCTAAGTGCAAAATACCTTTGCACGACTGACAGGACCGTGATCCTGCACTCACCCTGGGTAGTGAACAGGCAGTAATTAATTAATTAATAATAATGGCAATAGTAATAGCAACAGTAATATTATAATAATATAATAATGATATTATGATACTATAATAATAGTGATAATAATGTAATATATAATATGGTATAATATAATATAATGATAATAATGGGGAAACAGAAAGGTACAAACAGAATTCTTTCAGTTAAGGAAGTTACAACCACTTTTCATGAAGAAAGTGAAAGGTTATAGCAGGATCGCCACTAACTTATGTTCTGATCCACATCTGATAGCGTCTCTAGCCACTGTGTTGCATCATCTTTCGGACCCCAGCCAGAGAGTCGTCAAGGACCAACAGAAGCCAGTCCTGTACAGCTTTCTTTCATACCACGACACCATGTCATACACTGACCACCTCTCTGCTTTTTCCAACCACTCCTAGAGTCGGCAAATAATGCTCGACGTGAAATCCCCTGGAATGACATTCGTAGAACATATCACAGCTACCGAAGTCGATGTTTCAAGATGGTGACACCAATTAAGTTATCGTCTCTGCGCCCGAACACACGACGCCGAACCTCTGCATTACTAACATGGTGTTGCCACTGTGACTGACACTATGTTTAACGACGATAATTAGCTCTTTCAGCAGTAGACGAGGACAATACTGTAAAACACAACAATGTTAGCTGGATATTTTGCAAATAATAGTTTTGATTTTGCATCAACCGAGACGACTCGGCAAAATTACTGAGAACCAAGTAGCAACAAATAGCTACTTAATTTTAGTTTGATACTTCAGCAGTGACTTTATTATCAAATGACTTAACTGAATATTATTTCTAGTGCCCAAGATTGATATGATGAATGCATGTTTTAAGGAGCCGTAATCACTGTAGTCCGACGATAGTGAAGATCGATCTCTCAAAGGTAGTTTGATAGTTTTCGAATAATGTGGGTTGAGAGAAATCTGGTGTGAACCATCGGCTGATGACAATATGTTTATTGTGAGAACCCGAAAGTTATGAACCACTTTTCTTATGCGATCAAGGGTGTACACTACTAAGGGGTGCCAGGTTGAAAATATAAAGATGTCAACTACCCTTGTTTGTATCAGTTTTCTGATTGGTATCAGTCAGTGGTGAGCAGATTCCCTAAACTAAGATCTGATTGATTTTACTAAGCTGCTCTATTCGTAAGTTCTTAAAAAATTCTAAATATTTTAGTAAAAGTAGTAGCCTTCTTAAAACAACGATTTTGATAGAATTGTATAACTATTTTTCCAGTTGTGAACTCCCTATTACTGAGTAAAATGAATATATATATATATATATATATATATATATATATATATATATATATATATATATATACTTACAACGAGGATACCCACTGTCAGACATTGGAAATAAATCGAATCGTCTATGATATTCCACAGGCATTGATCTCCTTACATGATAAATTTTAGGAATAATAGATGTTGTTGCATTAACCATGGTAAATGGACCTATTTCACATGTTAATAAACCAGGACCAGGATTCAGCTGTTCAGTGATAATTTGACCCCAAGGATCCACAACTAAACTATGCCCATATGAAGATCGTCCTTCGTTATGTTTACCTTCCTGAACAAAGAAATCACAAAGAAACTTTCATAAAAATACATACGGATGGTATAACAAAGAATATAGGCATTACTCTAACTTCATGTATATGTTGATATATTCATCATTGATAGCAGGATAATGTTTGTGGAGATAAAGACAACTGAGTTCCATTTTGAATATTTGACAATTTAACTTCACCTGAAGCATTGATGCTCTCTCAAAAGAGGCACAACAAGCGCCCATAAGATGAAAAACCTACGACTCTGAGATTACCAAAGCACTTTTCGAGACAAAAAACGGATTATAACGAACATCATCCAGTGCTACCCATCTCCACCAATGGCAGCAGCGATGATAAATACCATCTACTTAAGGTTGCAGTCCATCCTAGAAAAATACTAAGGAAGCAATCTGACGCTTCTGATGGGGAACCTAAGCACCAAATCCAGCGAAACCAACAGTTTGTAAAGACGCATCATGGGAAGAAATGGAGAGGGAGAAAGTAGAGAGAATGGTAGGTCTATGTGGTTTCAATAACACAGTTATAGGTGGTAGGATTTCTTCATACGAACATATACATAAACCTACATAGGTTTCGCCGGACCGCAATATAGAAATATACGTTAACCAAGCAACAATAAATGAGAAATTCCAAAAGTCTACAAAAGACGTACGAACAAAGAAAGGAGCTGATATAGCTTCAGAACATCACCTGGTGGTGACCGAATTAAAGAAACATCGTGCAATTAGACAGAATTACGAAAGTTTAATACAACCTTCCTTCCATATCCTAACAAGTTACAAGACTTAAAAGATCTTCTAGGAGAAATCACTAAGAGGAACGACTGGAAAGAAATTAAAAAAGCAGTGACTTCAATATCGTAGGAGGTACAATTGGAGAGGATCTGGAACTTCAAACAAGTACCAACCAACAACAAAGTCAGAAACTTTAATACAAAGGTCGAGATAGTTCTATTGCACGGGGCTGAAACTTGGGTAACTACTACAACCACCAACGAAACTGCGCAGATATTTATAAACAGTTGTTTACGCAAGATACTCAACATCCGTTGGTTGGATACCAACAGCAATTACCTACTATGACAGAGAACAAATCAGCTTCCAGATGAAAAGTAAATTAGGAACAAATGCTGGGATTAGATAGGACAAACACTGATAAAACCATCAAACCGCATCTCAAGGCAAGTTTCTAACATGAGATCCTCAAGAGAAAAGGGAAAGAGCCGAAGATGGGATGAAAAGCATTCAGCAACGACTGGAGAGTTCAGGGGGAAATTGATTGGAGATCATCAATCGACTTGTCATCCTTACCAAGTACCCTATTCCTAACTCAGGCATTGCTTACTCCGTGGTACCGAAATGCACGAGCAATACATCGTGGACACCTATAATCGCATACACTACAAATGCCGCGAGTTGGAAAGAGCCAATCAGGCCTTCTTAATCCGTACCGAGATTTCGTCGGACACCAAACTATCAGCACTAATGAGACTTTCAAGATAAGTGAAGCAGTCAATGCGTTCAGCTATTCCACTCTCTATCACTAATTCAGGCAATGACGCAAGTCAATTTTGAAGTAACATTTCAAATTTGGAGGGAGAAAACCCTATCCCAAATATGCTTGCATTGCTGCCTAAGGTGGTCATAAGACTACATTTTGTAAACGCGTTCACTAAACAGAACTATATGGTCTGTACGTCATAAGTCAACAAGTGAATCTCCCTGTAGAAGACCGACTTCTGAGAAGTCAGCCAATGAGATATTATCCCTAAAAGCATTCTATGACAAAGTTAAATAAAAATAGAGAAAGAAGACAACCCTGACGAACAACACTTGAAGTAACCAATTCCGATAAGTTCTCAATGAGCCCTGACTCGACCAGTAGTGTTCGAGTAGATAGCCTGTACACCGTTAATGTACTTTTGAAGGACTGCAACACGACCTCACAACCAACAGTCAAATGCCGCCTTAAGGTCAAGTATGTCTATGTTCCGGAATCTGCCGAAGCATTATTGAGGCTAATACTTTAGACATTATATTAGTCAAGCTGATTCCCCTGTGACTGGCACGAGAGGATTTTTGCCCTTTCTTATAAACTGGGACGATCAGAGATCGACACCAGTCAGATAGGATTACGTTTAATTTTCAGACTTTAGCTAAGATTTCAATTAATCTGACTGCTAAAACTGGATGATCATTCTTAAAATCTCAAGGGTTAGTCCAACAGGTCTTAATGCTTTCTCTCCCTATAGATTACTCATAGCCTCTTCAACCTCACTAAGTGGTGGATGACTAACATCAATTTACCATTCAGACTACTCGGAAATGTTGGGTGATTGAAGTGTGGTTGACGACCAGTTGGACTGTTCCCCAGGGTTTTATGCCCATCCATCCAATCTTCTGGAACGAAAGTGAATAATGTTCCCGTCTTTTCCTGAGATAGTTTCACTAAAAGCCGGATTTTTAATGCCCATTTACTTGAAAAGTCTGAACAGTTGTCTACTTTTACCTATCGCTTCTGCCTTTCCTATCTCTTCTGCTTGCGCTACCCACCACTATTCACGACCATTACGTAGGTTTGTTAACAGTCTATATATTAAGCTACCTCAGCTCCTCATAGTGTTTAGAGCCAGACGGGATGAGTTTCTGAGTATCTATCAGTTCTGTAGACGCTGCTGAAATCCACTGACTCCTCCTAGCCTTTTGGTTTAAGTTATTAGTGAATATCACTGTTGTTCCTACAGCTTTTTGGATATCATACTAAAGCGTCGAGGCTACGGGAAGTAGCAGCAGAAACCTTAGATACTCGAAGGGTAAATCGTTCCGGTTCTTTATATTGACAAGACGAGGTCAGATGAACATACTTTGATCCTGTTTGCGGATTTCGGAGTAGCGAAATGCATCGATGGAGCGAGATTCTACATTCCTAGCTAAAGAAGTTTGTTTTCCTATTAGACACAAAGTTCGAAAATCAAACGCTCCAATATGTAGAATAGAGCGTCGTTTCAAGATATTAGGAATAACATTTCATGAGTTCAAATCATTAACAACTGTGGCGCGTGGAGACAAAGATAAAAGAGAATGGTTAGTTGTGGGGAAAGGAGAATTATAGAGTGATGAGGTGGGGGATCGATCGTGCACAAGATGATCTCAGGTACAATTAGAGGTATGAGGGCAGTTGTCACATCCTGGATGCTCACATCGCAGAAAGATATTTCTTATTGAGGGACGTGAGAAAGAAGCTGAATTAGTGGTGGTCTTAGCGACCTAGGTAAGTGATCCAAAGCCCAGGAGCCAAGTTCTTGAAGCCGGTCACACATTACCTTTTTATGGGAAGTTTTTAATGTCTTAGCTCCGGACTTCAAAAATTGAATACCTTACTTCTATCGTACCCCTCTATAATCAGCAGTACAACTTCGGCCTGAGGCCTTAAGTTACTGCTTTTAGTCTTATCGTTCTCCAACCGACCAGCTTGGCATGGTAGGGCCTAAAGGAATATATATTCCAGGTAATTTTGTTCGGTTGAGTCGTCACAACAGACAAATACGACCACCGCGTCAAGATAGAAGATGCGGTAGGTTGGGTCACTCAAAGATCGGCCAAATGACACCGCGTCACAATACATATTCAGTATAATCCATTTTGAATCAATAAACTGGTTCTTAATCATATATTAACTGACTAATATAAAATACACTGTGAAAACTAAAAATTGATGCGCCTTAATTGATCTCAAGAAAACACGATGTACATAAGTTAGACTTGCATCAAACAAACAACCAACGTAGATACCTCCGGCAATTAAATTAACAAGAATATATTAAATTACTGAGAAAAAAGTACAAATTAGGTGAGACAGTTCATCAGAAGAATGAAAAGCATAGGAATGAGTAGGTTACCTGGGCTGCAGCAACTACATAACACTGATTCTCAATAGCTCTGGCTCGAATCAACGTATGCCAATGACCAGCTTCTCCTGTACGTGTAGTATAAGCAGATGGATAACTTAGAACATGAGCATTCTTAGCATATCGAAGATGAGATGCTAGTTCAGGAAAGCGCATGTCATAACACTAGGAAGAAATCGATTTATAATTAGGATATCAATATTATTTGAAAAGAACTTTCTAAATATTAATTATTGATTTAGCGCAAAACCTAAGAGGAATAGTGAAATACACATCTGACAAAAAACTTGTAATAAAAACAAATACATACTCGCGCAAGCACTTAAATCTCAAATGCTGAGTTACAGGATCAGAATCCGCCCCATCCACAAACATACGAACAACTGCGAGTCACTATTATCAGGCTTCATACGATAGACGTTTTAGCCCACTGCATGATTTTGAAAGTGACCGCCAAATTACATAATAGGCATTAGTATCTTCATAAAATGGAACCGGTAAGAGTTGAACGTTCAGTATATCTTTAATCGAAACCAGATAAGCAGCTACGAATATGGTAAACAGACGTACAAGAAATTGCGAGAAGCGTGTAACATGTATGTCATCCGATATATTTCAGTCATACTGAAAATAAATATCGGATGGTGCTAATATCAATTCTTAAACCTTTGTCAAAAACAGTCCTTGGAGAGTCAGTAAGTTTGGAAAACGCTAAATTACTCCTCAAAACATTGTATTTTCTTATCTCATTGGAACTGAACATGCACATAATCCACTATTGAAACGGCAGCTACTAGCGAAATCCTTGAGATTTTACGTTGATTTTTACCTTCGAAGATGAGAGCTAAGTGATGCACATAAACTGAACCATATAACTTTATTACCACCTAACTTGTCTGAGATTCAACGAGATGATGGTGTTAGCAGTCGAATGGTCAGTCAAACTACCAGTGTCACTAATATTTAGTTTCAGAATATAATATTAGGATACCTGATTGGATGGCTTTTATTGGATGAATTGCGTCTTGAACTTATCCAGTCATATTGACCCATATGAATACTGTAAAAGATATTTTTACACTATTTATTGTCTCCCTGACCCCATATATAATCTTTAATATTGGATATGAAATTATTTTAGACTTGTAAAAGAATTGAAGTTTTTTGCAAACTAAGTGGTCTTCACCAGGTGAATAACCAAGAGTAATACACATTTAGGAATATCTTTTATCCTGGAGTTTCAATTGAAAAGTAACGTATACTATTATGTGTGGATGTTCTGTTACTGTCTGATTTTTGACAAATTTAACATGACACCAGTAAAATTGTGTCAGATATAGACAAAATAATCACTGTTACGTACGACAGCTAGTCCCAAATTTCCAATAGGGGTGTTTTGGATTACGATTGGAGCCTCGGTACCAGCACATATCGCTTTCGACTCAAAGAACGATGATCGCATACATGTTGGCTACAAAAACAAATTTTTAATCGATGAGTTTAATTGTAAATAATCGACAAATTATGAGTCAGAATTAAATGATAATGTAGCAACGAACACTTATAAACAAAATACACGAGACGATGCTGAACCAATGGTCTATCAGGTAAATTTGTATTACAGTAAAATAGCAATGAACTGTGACTAGCAGATACATTGACTTAGGTGATGCTAATTCAATAGTAAAAGGAAAAATATAGAGTATATGGTAACTATTCTCGTACATTCAAGAGCTACGCTGTATTTGGTTAACAGTGCATGTTCTATTACAAACCTCTACAGGCAAATTTATGGTTAAAAAAAGAACAATCTGTTAAAGGCTTCTCATGTTACTTGATAGATTAAACGTATGTCAAATATCTCGCAGTCACCCTACAAAGTTGGATTAGCGTCTTATAACGGACATAAATTTTGGGCTATCAATTTAATTTACTGACGATAAACGACGTAAAGAAATATCAAAAGGAATTACAGTAGTATAACTCCACACGGCTGAACCTTACCAGAAATACTTTATTTATCTATTTATTTATTTGAATACAAATAATGGTAAAGAGGCATGGAATACATATGCGCCACACAAGTCACATGATTTGTGCGTAGGTTGTGATACTGCCTGAGTACCCAGACCGAAGCAGGTGGTTTCCTTAGGGGGCCACGCCCCGAGGCTTGACCTAAAAGTCTGACCGACAAGGCAGTGGAGGAACGTAGGGAAATGAAGTCCCATTGGTTGCCAGTGACCAACGATTGGTTTATACACCATTTGTTCCTTCAGGATACTGGAGCGCATGTATACCACTGGTTTGAATTGAGGGTTTTCTAACTCCCCTAAGTTGATCCTCTGTACCCACCAAGCCGGTTAAAGCTCCGGACACTCACGTCTCGTTTTCTCAATTTCGTAAACATCAGTAATGCCACGAGAAGGCAGTGAATAAGACTTCCCTGTCAGTGGTTGTATGCACGTGGCTATGTGAGAGAATTTCGAGAGGGAGGGCTAACTCTTCCCACCCTCGGCCATATCAGGCCATTTGGATGACTAAATACTATAAAGCATTAAACGATAGTGCAACGTCAATTGTCGTATGACAGTATGACGACAATCTGTTTATCCCAGTCTTAGTACGTGTGTAAGAATAACCTGATTCAAGCTATCAACCTATTGATTAGAAATGAAGTGTTTTTAAACTATTTTTTCAAGTGCATCAACATAAAACAATAGATAATAAAGATTAATTATGGAAAACTGAATGAAATTAACTTCTGTATTGGGTGTAGTTTCGTTTGTACTTAAATTGGCATCGAATAAATGGACTTTATGATAAACGCCCACTATTTGACCATCTGAATTAATAACTATGTGAGAATTGTACAACTGATCATCGTTTTCTGTGCTCTGGATAATTTGGAAACAAAAACGCACATGAAATTAATGGTCACATTTGTAAAAAAAAATTCAATATTATTTAAGGGATTAACAAGTAACCAAAAATACAATTAAAAAAAACAAGATAGTGTAGTAATTATTAATCACAAGTATTTACACTGTGGCTGAAAACAAAGAACGTGTTCTGGCGGTAGTTTAGTCAACATACAAACTTTAGGATTAGTCAATTTAAGTTTTTTTATATTTTTTTACACTGCTAAAAGCAGTCTTCTTAGAAATACTTTAAGATGCATGGCCCTTTATCCTTTTTGGACTGTTAAACATCACAAGCCATTTCAGTCAAGATAACTGAGCAGAGTTACACGTAGCATAGGAAGAAAACAAAACTTAATTCTCAATAAATCGAAATGACTCACGTACATATGACCTATACCTGCCGGCATACATGAAGTATAAGTTGCCTGACATTGACTAACACTAAAGCTTTCACTCGTAGAAAAGAGAAGAGCACAATAAAAACAGGGTACAACCCACACATCTTGATTCTTAACAGTGAAAGGACCTCCTAAGCATGAGTTGAACTTACGTGATATGATCCAAGAACTGGTCAGAGCATCGCAGATGCACTTATCCCATATTTCCTCAGAAATATTGAGTATTTACTACTCTATGCCCGTACCCACTTAACCGGTTAGAACGCAAGACAATCGCCTTTCATCCTCTCAATTTCGTAAACAACACCCTCGCCGCAAGAAGGCAGTGAGTAAGACTTTCCTGGTAGTGGGGGTCGTAGCATGCACTAACTTCACACAACGAAAATGCAAAGGTGCCAAATAATTGCAAGATGACTAAGTCATTTGAAAGATTTCACATTGCTTACCCTAATATGAGCACCACCAAGACTAATCCAAAGGCTTTCTCGAGAAGCTAAGGCACGGTATTTCGTTATCAAAGGTCCATCCAACGCTTCTGAAAGATCAAGTGTTTCCTCACGTGACCGACCAACAAAATCGAAGCATTCGGGGAGGAAAACGATCTGAATTTCTATTAATGATAAGATGTTCGATATTTAAACTGACCTTGACTCCTGATGCTTTGGCCTGGTTAATATACTTAACCGCTTGGTCGAAATTCCGTTCCTTATCTGCTGTTGATTGCATTTGAACTATGCCAACTTTTGTTGTCATGTTTCTCAACAGTGTTATTCTCGAAGACTTGGCGACGCATACAACACCCCCAATTGCTTTCAGCGGAGTAAACCGCATAAGATCAACGTCCAACGCGCCCTTCGAATGGTTCAAATGGTTGTGAACGAAATAGAAGAAGCTTTCGCTTAACAGGCATCCGTGTCTAGTAGCAGGGGATCGCGAATACCTCCAGGCAGGAACCTAGGTATGTTAACGATAAAAGAGGAAAAAGAAATTGGTAAACCCTAGTATGATACTATCCTTAGTCATTAAAAATAGATCAAGCTGCCTCTTAAAGGACTCCTGCGAAGTCGCTTGGACTAGCTCAGCTGGCAGCGAATTCTGAATTTGACAACTCTTAAGGAGTATAAATTGTGTCTACAGTCCGTTATGCTATGTTGTGTCTCCAATTTCTGGGTGTTACGCCTTAGGGTTGTATTGGGACTAAGCTTAAGTAGGTGTTTAAGAGGATGTCCAAAAGTGTTAATGACACTGTAAGCCATCAGGAAGTCACATCTAAGACGTCTCTACTCTAGTGGGTAAAGGTTAAGTGATTAGAGGCGTTCTTCATGAGGTTCGAATTTGAGTCCGCGAACTGATTTCGTGGCTCCAGAGTGCCCTTATACTTTTTGAATGAGAGAGGAAATACTATGTTTCCATACTCTAAAACGGGACGGATAAAACTGTTGGAGATCATATGAAAAGTTCTTCTGCCGAACTGGCCAAGGTTTGCTCGAAAAGCATTTTTGTCACAGTTAGCGTAAGACTTTAAATCGTAGGGCACCAGCACTCCTAAATCCTTTTCGACTCGGAATACTACTAAAGAGGAGTTTCTTAAGTTATAACTGTAGTCTGCGACATGTCGCAGATGGACTACTTTACACTCTGAAGTGTTCAAAGTAAGTCCGTTATCGTCTGCTCAACTTCAGATCCTCCTGAATTGCCTGTATATCGTCTTGGTTGCGTATCACTCTACAAAGTTTCACATCATTGGCAAAAAGTATTAAGTCTGACGTTACCTGTTGAGGAAAATCATTTATATAAATCAAGAAGAGAAACGATCCTAGTACTGAGCCCTGGGAACCCACTAGGACACTCCATAGCCTAAAATAAAGTGAAGTTAACCCTGACCTTAAGATGTCGATTTTTTAGATATGGAGTAATCCAATCAATTAGAGGTGGTCTGATACCCAATCGTTTGACCTTATTGATAAGACATGTATGGTTAACTTTATCAAAAGCTTTTGAGCAATCTAAGTAGATGATATCAACATTCCCCTTGCGATCAAGTTTGCTTGTCCATCTGTCCATCGCAGTTATCAGGCTGGTTATACAAGAGTAACCCTTCCTGAAACCATGCCGTTGGGGTGAAAAGAAGTTTAAGGATAACAAATAGTCGTGTATACCATCGTTTATCAGGGACTCCATGATTTTTGAAGATATATAGAGAAGAGCCAACTGTCGATAACTCGAACGTTCGTTGGGTCGACCTCCTTTGAAAATTGATGTGATGTGAGCCAGTCTCCAATTTTCCGGTAGTTTGCCTCAGCTTAGCGAGTGTGAGAACATCAAGCTAAGCGGCTTTGCCAGGATTGAGAATGCTTCCCTCAGTATAGCAGAATGGACCATATCTGGGCCAGAAGAAATGTCTTTTCTTAGGTGCAACAGTTTTCGGAACACCAAGTCAGCGCTCAGGTTCACTACGGAAAGTCCTGTGCAGTTGTAAATGAAGCTGTCATCAGTATAGTTGATATGGGTGAGTTGAAATGTCCGAGAGTACTGTTCAGCCAAAAGTTTGGCGGCATCGCCGTCATTATTGGTTGGGCCACTAGGACCTAGCAGTTTTGAAACTGCAGTTTTGGCTTGACGAAGAGAGGCTGCATAACGGAATAAGCTTTTTGGATTAGAGACAAATTTGTCCATAAGCTTTATCTGGTACTGAAGCCTGTTTTCTCTTATAGTCCTCGTGGACATGTTCCTTATATGTCTGTATTGCCCGTACGCTCCATTTTCGTCAGTTTGTATTCTGCCCAACAGTGCCTATTGCGGCTTAGCAGGTTCTTGATGACTCTAGGTTGCTTGTAGCAATTGAGGACCGTTTGAGGAACTGACTGCTTTGTAGCACATAAGAGCGTGTGCATTAAAAAGTCCCAATGAGTATCCAAATCGAATTGAGGGTGAACATCTCAATCCCCCTGTCGTAGATAGTCCTGAATAGCTGACACATTCAACCGTTTGAAACTCCAGCGCCTGTTGTTGGTGGGATATCTTAGCTGACAAAACCGGAAGCTATAACGGCTTGATCGCTTTTCCCCAGGGCAGCCAGGATTGAGAGGTTGTCAACTAGAAACTCTTCGTTTGTAAACACACAGTCTAAGCGCGGCGGTGTCTGAGTGTTTCTCCAACGAGTTGCCGACTTCAAATTTTCGTATAATCCCAAATCCTCAATGAGGTTGAAGAACCGAGCTTCAGTTGAGTTTTCACCTCCAATATATGTATGTTCCGCGAAGTTGACTCTAGGGAGATCAAAGTCCCCTAGAATCAGGATATGAGTGAATCCGAGACGCGTAGAGAGGGATAGTCCTTCCAACATACGACTGTCATACTCGATATCGGCAGTGGCCTTCCTATATATGACTCCGACCAGACACCTCGAAGTAGTAGACAGTCTTACGGAGCACCACATGGATTCCTCAATATTTTCAAACTCGAGGTTGTGAACTTGGTGTACCTCCAAGCTACTCCACCCCCAATCCCTGTCTTTCTGTCGTTGAGAGACGAAGACATCGCAGGTATTGCTAGCTCCTGGTCCGAGAACTGAGAAGATATCCAAGTTTCAGATATTCCTATCAGATGAACATTATTACCATTGCTAATTTCACTTAGCTCATCCATTTTATTTGGTACACTCGCGGCGTTCATGTACAAGCAGTTTATGCTTTCACTTTGAAACACGTGAGCTTCTTCCTGTTTGTCTGTATGAGCCTTACGTGGATGGACAGGCAGCCTTCTTATATAAGGTTTGCCGAGTTGATAGGCCATGTCTTATACCCTTTTTTACATGGTCAAGATAGTCTACAAATTGAATGGTCAGCACCGACTTGACTTTGTGCTTGATCCTGTCTTCATATGGCCTGTCCGGGTGCATGTGAATTCCAGTTGGCGACCAATGTCTGTTGGTACGAAATGCTTCTAGAGTTGCAGCCGCCATACGGGAGGACAGGAAAGTTATCCTCATTATCCGGGGTCTAGAATCACCGTCCTTCTTGACTAGTCTCGTCACATGTTGATCCAGTATGTTTTCGAGCCTCAAGAACTGTCTGATAGATTTCCGTTCCTTAATATCAGAGCTTGCTTGACTAGGGTCCGTGTTTTCCGGTACAACTTGCTTAACTATATTTCTTCCGCGGAAAAACTCACGAGGTTCTTTGGGGATGTTTCAGATGAGATTGCGCTCAAAATACGGTATGTCGGGCAGTATTCTTACGTTCCCATCGAATTTCAGTAAATGACTAGCTGTTAGGACATCCTCGACCTCGATAGCATACTTAAATGTTACACGAAGTAGCCTCGGACGATTTTGATTCTTAGATTCCTTTCCACGAGTAAGCCGTGTGACTGTCAAAGTTTCTGTTCTAGGAAGTTCAAGTTTCTTGTCCAATTCACCCCAAGGCGATCTGTCATTTTGTCCCACAAACTAAGAGGAATGTCAGGGTTTTTTGAGGGATTTTTGGAGTGTTCAGTGGGCGGTAGTCTAACCATTCGATTCCACTAACTATAGTTTAATAGTTAATTGTTGACTTGTATATCTTTTAGTCTCAGTAAGTGCGTTTGTCTCATGGCACTAGAGTTTCCAAAATCATTTTAATACACATAATCACTATTTACTGGAGTACAAAGAAGATCTAAGACATCACACAACTATGGGCAACAAATATGTAAAGAAGCCACAAGTATTCGGAGTTTGACAATGTCTTAACTATTAGCACCTTTATAATCGAAATAAAGCAACCCAGTCATATCAGAAGTCAAAAGGGAAGACGTTCGAAGATACAGTCGATTAAATACGGATATATCAAGAAGTGACCAATCTAATCTGGCTTGTAGTTGTAGGAGATGTGAAGCACGGCGTACCCACTCGTGATCTGGTGCGGATGCGTGACAGACCACCTTCAATTAGGTGAGTCCAGTAAAACTATTGCCATCGGCATCAAATGTCGAAGGCTTACAGAACTATTTATTTCGGGGATTTATTTACCGCTACATATGCCAGGAGAGCACAGCGTTCCAGCACAACAGCTTATATTTTTATAATTAAGTCACCCTGTCATAATGCAATAGGGAATACTTACTTACGAAATAGTCCCATGGACCACTACTTTGTAGTATGGCGTCGAGTCACGTTTGACTTTGATCACCACTACAAGAAGATTGCGTACCAGAACAGGCTGAACCTCCGAGTAAACCAGAAATCAGAAGGCAATTGATGGTTGTAGCGAAATATATTTGTTGGCGATCTCGTGGTATCGAAAGAATACCGAGATCGTGCCAAGGGAGCACAAACGGAACTACTGAGCAAACGTAAGTTCGCGCAAGGCCACAATCAACGGAACGACGAATGTCTTCTGTACAGTTAAACAAGTGCAGTAAAACAATCACTGGCACAATTGGTTATAATAATAATTGTTCCCATTACACCAATCGCGTTCTCTTGATAAAAGTAGGTCGCTACAACTTCATGAAGATATAATTTTCTAATGTCTTTTACTAAAATTCCCGTTTCTGTCCTCAAGTCTGCTTGTCGTACTAATTCATGCATACTAGGTACCACTCTTTGCATGAAACCTAAAGATCACTTATCTCTCTCTAAGAAATCAAAACATATCACCACAGATTCACTTCTTATACCTCTCTCTAACTGATTCTATCTGTATCTACACTGTAAAAAAGAAATAGATTCCTTGGACAACCACTTTCAGAATACTCGTACCAAACAATTCGCTTGTTTCTGTCCTTTAGAATATCTGTTTTACAATACACTATCACAGAATCCCCTGATATTCTCTCTAAACAATAACAGCTAGGGCAGTGTTACAGTCTAAATATCATTCG